ATGCTGCAATGACATGCTACATGGCAATGCACACTTGTTTTTACATTGTAAAAACCCATGTCTAGTTATATTTATGTTTTCCCCCCTCAGAGTCCGTCTGCAGCTCTACAGGACAGAGAAGATGGGATGGGGAGTTCGAGCGATGCAGGACATTCCTCAGGGAAGCTTCATCTGCGAGTACGAGATCAATCTGCCGCACGTCCAGCTGCTTCAATTTGAAAAGTAAATAAAACTAAAGTTCTTCCTTTGTGTGCAGATACGTTGGGGAGCTGATATCTGATGCTGAAGCTGACGTTAGAGAAGATGACTCCTACCTGTTTGACCTGGACAACAAGGTGAACTTTTTTAACTGATGTGTAAAAAACAGGAAAAGGGTGCGACACAGGTAATAAACTAAAACAAACAGGTGAGGTGGAGTGTTCTGGAGCTGTTTTCAACTATAACATTAAAAAGAGATAAAAATCCAACATGGCTGCCTGGTGATCGCTGCAGGAGCTGTTTGTGTCTTTAAATGGTCCTTTGTATGTTTTCCTCTGAAGGACGGGGAGGTGTACTGCATCGACGCCCGCTACTACGGCAACATCAGCCGCTTCATCAACCACCTGTGTGACCCAAACCTGATCCCGGTGCGCGTCTTCATGCTGCATCAGGACCTGCGATTCCCCCGCATCGCCTTCTTCAGCTCCAGGGACATCCTGAGTGGGCAGGAGCTGGGGTGAGGAGGTTTCTTTTATCCTCCTCTTTTCACTTTTTTAACTACATGAGTCGTTTTACATCATCTGGATTTGTAAATTATAAACGTTTGTCCTCAGGTTTGACTACGGAGACCGGTTTTGGGATATTAAGAGCAAGTATTTCACCTGTCAGTGCGGGTCGGAGAAGTGCAAACACTCGGCCGAGGCCATCGCGTTGGAGCAGAGCAGGCTGGCCCGGATGGAGGCCTGCTCAGAATCTGGAACAGACTGTGGGATGACCATGCTGGGAAACTCTTAAAACAATAACTCATAAGGCCTTAGGATGAACGCCTTGGTTTACACGCACACATTCAACGCTAGGAAAGAGTTTCGTTTGTTTTACTTTCTCTGTTTGCCAAGTTCGGTGCTGTTACGTTTTTAGTTTTTACTTGAAATCTTCTTTCAGTCACTTTATCATGTCTATGATAATAGATGTTACAACCATTTTGTTCAAAAGTTGTAACTTATTTGCTTTGGAGGTGAATCTGTTGGTCTTATGATTTCTGTTTYTACTGTAATTTTAGCGTATGTGTCAAATCATGTTCTCCAGGACTCTACATTCACAAATCGATCGTACATGTAAACACTTTTTTTATATTCATGTTGTGCCAACATAATGCAGCGCCTTCTGGCACGAACCATAACACGTCACATGGAAGCCCATTTTGGACTCAAAAGAACCTTAACTATTGTTTTTTTGTGAGTTTTTTTTATACTTTTTGTTTCCTTTGTCATTTGTAGTGAAATAAAATAAACAAGTTTATATTAGGTCTCTGTTTTGTTTTTAAAAATAATGTTAGTATTTATGTTTTTATCTCAAATTTAGATTTATGGGAAAAAAAGTAAGATTACCATCATCATTACTACAATCCTCCATAGAATTGGTCTTGAAATTATGCAAAGTGGGCGTGTACTGTATGTGTGTGTTTGTGTGTTTTAAAGAGTGATACATCTTCGTTATAAACGATCTTTGGTCGACCATCCCTGAGCAGGTGCGCTCGCGCMTGTGTCGTCACTTCTTAGTTACAAGTGCCAGGAAGGGAAAAAAGATTTCCTTAGAGTTGCGGTGTCCGTTTTTAGACCGGTTTTAGTGACTTGTTTGTAGAGTTTATGTTCACTTTTATCAGCCGTGGTTGTCGGTAGGAGTTACCGGGAGCGACAGGTGGAGGTTGAGGCGGGAACATGGGTAAAAAACAGGAGGACGAGAGTCCGGAATCCGAGTACGGTGAGTTGATGTCTCCCGTTAGATTTTCCCTCCGAGGAAGAACCGGTTTGGAGCTAGTGCTAGCTTGTTTTTATTTACTTATTTATTATTATATTTTTAATAAATACAGGCAATGTCCAAAATCTAGCAACAAGAAAAGTCGGTAATTTTGTTTCAATAAAATATTTTCAATTATTAGTGTGTTTACTGTTTTTTAAATATTTATTTGACGTAAAGCTAATGTGCGGTGACCACCATCAAGTCAGGGCAAAATTACATTTAATTAAACTTTAATAAAATTGTGAATCTTTGCCTAATTCAAATTTTAGCTTATTTATATGTCTGACTGTATACAGCAACAATAAACATTGTTGTACAGTCAATATTTAAAATAGAAAAATGTGAATGGTAACATATTAATCCTGCTGAAAAATTAGCTGAAGCTAAATTATATATAAACAAACTAAAATAAGCACAGAGCAGCTAAAAACTAAAATTAGCAAAAATGTAGCTTAAAGCTAAACTTTATAAGCTCGTAACAAATCAAAAGCTGAAATTTAAAAGAAGCTAARCAGTAGCTGAAAGCAAAAATTAGAAACTGTAAACAAGAGATAAAAAAATAGCTCAATTGTAGCTAATGGGAAAAGTTCAAAGCTAAAACCAGTTAAAAAAGCTAAAATCAAAACGAGCAAATTAGTAGCTTAAAAAGAAAAAAAAAAACAGCATAATTTCAACCGAAAGATAAAATTGGCAAAACAGATTATTATAAACTCAAACTCAAATTAGTAGCTAAAAGTTAAAATTAGCAATATTGTACCTAAAAACTACATTTAGCAAAACTCTTTCAAAGCTAGAATTAGCAAGATAGTAGCTAAAAGCTAAAAGAAGCAAAAGACAAAGTAGATCAAATAAGCTGAAGAAAATGGAAAGCTAACTTCAATGTATTTCTATTGAAATAAAAAAATGAATAATTTTAAAAGTAACTTGCTTGATTGTCCTATAATTTAAGAAATTATTTAGAATTTTAAATTAGAAGATTATGATCACAAGGTTGCAGCTAACCCCATACTTTATTATTATTAGAGGTTTAATAACTAGAGAACCTTTGAGTCAAAGTGTTTATCTCATATAGGTCACAGATTTATATCAGTTTTTACTGCAAACAAACCTTTTTTTAAATACTTTAAGATGAACTTTAAAATGTCTGCAGGATTTAAACCTTCACATATGTGGAAAACGTGTAACCTCCTCTACACAGACAGACATGCAAGACACTGAACACATTCTGTGAAGTTTATTTAAGCTGCAGTAAACAAACCCTCCCTGAAGGTAAATAAATACCCGGTCTGGTTTCACGTTAAGAAAACATCGAGTCTGGAGGTGACCAGCTTCAGAGCTCTGCAACCATTTTTTAAACACGTGAAACTTAGTGCAACAGCTCCATGAATACCTCATTTAGAAGAGAAAAGTTTTCAGGATGTTGAGGACTTTTACCAGTAAATTATTTTTGAAAGTGTTGATGAATYAGTGACATGTTAGGTTTGTGCTGACAATCATTTACCTGAAAAATTTCCTACTATTGCTTGTAGAAACAGGACGATTATTAGTTAATAGTTAATAAAAACAAAAAGAAAAAAAATTGTATAGGTCTTCTGGACGGGTTCTTKTCTAATGAAACGTTTCGTCTCTCCTCCAAGAGACTTCTTCAGTCTGAGAGTTTCAGGTAAAATTCAGGCTTTTAAGCCCTGCCTCCATGTGACTGATACATCACATGGCTATCGTTGACACCTAATTAACACTTATTGTTAACAGGGGGTGGAGTGATATTGGCAATAGCAGCACTGTAGGAGGGGGACAACTGAAAACGGAGGCCTCCACCTCTGTTTAATGATGGACGGTCTTTCTTCACAAAAATGGCTTCTTTTACTCCTCTCTCAAACCAACGTTCCTCTCTATCAAGAATGAGAACATCCTCATCTCTGAAAGAGTGACCGCTGGCCTGTAAATGAGTGAAAACTGCAGAGTTCTGGCCATTAGATGTAGCTCGTCTGTGTTGGGACATTCTTTTGAACAGTGGCTGCTTTGTTTCCCCGATGTATACTGTAACTGGTCGCAGTCCTCCTGGCACTTAACAGCATATACAACATTGCTCTGTTTGTGCCGGGGCACCGGATCTTTGGGGTGAACCAGCCTTTGCCGGAATGTGTTTTGGGATTTGAAAGCCACTGGGACATCATGTTTAGAAAATAAACGTCTCAGTTTCTCCGAAACACCCGCAACATACGGAATAACCACTGGTTTGGGTCTGGGTTTGGGGTCTTCGAGGAACGTTGGTTTGAGAGAGGAGTAAAAGAAGCCATTTTTGTGAAGAAAGACCGTCCATCATTAAACAGAGGTGGAGGCCTCCGTTTTCAGTTGTCCCCCTCCTACAGCGCTGCTATTGCCAGTATCCCTCCACCCCCTGTTAACAATAGGTGTTAATTAGGTGTCAACGATAGCCATGTGATGTGAGTATCAGTCACATGGAGGCAGGGCTTAAAAGCCTGAATTTTGCCTGAAACTCTCAGACTGAAGAAGTCTCTTGGAGGAGAGACGAAACGTTTCATTAGAGAAGAACCCGTCCAGAAGACCTATACAATTTTTTTCTTTTTGATTTTTTACCTGGATTACTGAGATGCATCAGGATATTAATAAAAACAAAACGTTTAAGTTCTCAGCTGTGTTTTTGCTGCTATGTGTCAAGAAAACATCACTGTTTGTTTCCACGTTCTTTATTATTCAAAGCCATATTTGTGTGATTGATCCATCCATTATCTACTTGTTCCAGACAGAGTCGGTTTGCAGGGGCAGCAGCTTAATTTGTATCTTTTTAGTCTTTTGTTTGAGTTAATTTCAGCTCTTGTTTGAATACGTTCTTCGACTTATCAGAAAGTTTGGAACCAGACACCAGCTTCGTCCTCTTGTCTCTCTCGTCTTCGACCAAGGTCATCTGATGAGCCCTCGTCACCAGTTTGAGTTCATCGAACTGAAGCAGTAAAAAATAATGTCCTGCAGCTCTTCTGAGGTTCAAAGTTTACAGGATTAAAGATTTCCCCCGGTTTTTTACGGGGCCGTAAAAACCTCAAACGTCATTTCATAAACYAAACGAGACGTCGTCATGTTTACTCGAAACTCAGATGAGCTGAAATCTGAAACTCATGCAGGAAGGTTTTTAAACAATGCCCCTTTTTTTTCCCCAGAAACCTTTTATAAATGACCTTACTCGGCAGTTTCCTCAATTTAAATGAACCTCATCAGTGTTTCAACACATCACTTTTACACATTTTCTCTCACTGCTTTGGAAATATTTTATTTTAATATTTCTGTTTCTGTCACTAAATCTCTGGACCTTTTTTTTCACTCTGAATCTACGTGGACTCGGTTCCAACTTCCTGCATCCTGTTTCAGTATTTGCATCCAGACCTGCAGCCGTGTTGACAGTCTACATTCACTCCTAGTCAAATTACTCCCAGCGGAGATAATTAGTCGAGCCAAAGCAGAAATTAATCTTTGCGTGTGAGCTGTAAAACACCCATCCATTCAGACCTTTCAGATTAACACAGCCTGTCAGTATTTGCATGTTTTTTATTGTTAAAAACACATAAATTCATCAGGTTGTTCCTCCCACGGTCATAACCTAAATACATATTTTTTGGCTGAATCGGAGCCATATAATTGCTGTATTCGATAAGCGTACAGGAACTCAACCGGTTTTTCCTGCCGAACAAGAAAAAGCAGCACGAGATCGTTACTGTTCTGAGCAGGGAGTGGTTTCAGATCAGGTCCCCTCAGATTTACTTCGCTTTGCCTCTTCTCTGGAAACTACCAATTCAAATTATATTCAAATGCTTGTTCTTGCTGTCAGGGCTCCTAATTTGATGTTTTGTTTTTTTGTTTTCTTTTGTTTTCTTTTGTTTTTACCCATCTGCTCCGGCAGAAAAATGACACCGTCTGATTTTATTATTTGAGTGTTCCAGGAAGCAACAATGACACATTATTTCTCAGTAAAACAGCCTCTATTTTTGTTATACAGTTATTGTCAGCAGCAASATCATAAAAATATAAAACTCTTAACACCAATGGAAGATTTTTCTTATTCTCTCGTGTTGTAATTTATTAACTTTGAGCACACAAGCAAACTCTTTATTGTTGAAGAAAACCAGTAACACTCTTCCTTTAGTCCAGTTTAGGTTTCGAGCCATGAACATTTACAGCTCATACATGTGTTTGTTTACAACATGGGAGATGTGCAGCGGAGGACAGCACTAATCTCAAAATTAGTTCCACTAGCCCTAAAGCACTAACTCAAATATTTAGGTCCCCTAATTCTAAAGCACTAAAATAAACCAGTCGACCCATGAGCATCCTTCAACAAACAYCATGAGTCACATATTGTCATGTTGATGTGTAAAAACTTATCAGTGACATTCCTCAGCCGTACTTGAGTTCATATAACATCAATAAAAATCAGTAAAACAATAAAAAAAGTCAATAAAAAACTGATGTATATTACTTTTTTGCAGGAGACCCATTTGCTTAAGGCAGACAGTGCAAATATAAGCAGGCGTTGGTCTGGTCAGGTGTTTCAGTCTAATTTCCAATCTAAATTGAGAGGGGTGGCCATCTTAGTTAGAAAACAGGTGCAATTTACAGCATCCAGTGTTAAAACGGACGCTACTGGACGTTATGTTATTGTGGTGGGAAAACTATATGCACTTCCTGTCATTTTAGTCTCGGTAAATGCTCCAAATTGGGATAATCAAACATTTTTAATACGCTTTTTTCAAATTTACCTAATATTTCAACACATAATCTCATAATTGGGGGAGATGTGAACTGTGTGCTATCATCCCTCGATCGTAGTACAGTGGGGAGGATCTCTCTTTCTAAATCGGCCCAGTCAATTAATTCATTTCTTAAACACCTATGGAGTGGTTGACGTGTGGCGTTTTCGTAATCCGACCCTGAGACGGTATTCGTTCTTTTCCCCTGTTCATAAGAGCTGTTCACGGATTGACTACTTTCTCCTAGATAAACGGATTTTGCCTTTAGTGAGTGAATGTGACTATGGAGCGATAGTCATTTCTGATAATAGTCTGCTCATAATGAAACTGAACGTTCCTGTCACACAATCAGTCTATCGTCCTTGGCGACTTAATCCGATACTTTTATCTGACGAAGACTTGGTT